GTCGCCCCCCTTGTCCACTCCAGAGATGGGTTCTTGTTTAATATCAAGAATGTCAGAACGCTTCTTCCCAACTTACAGCCACGCGACTTCAACTTTCACGACCTGGAAGCCTCGGCAACCCCAGCGAAGCATTCAAGGCGGAACTGCAAGACATTATCCCAAATATTCTACTGTACAATCACATCACCTCACTCAGCAGGTACAGATCTAACAATAAATCAACGGCACCAAACCACATAATTAATAATGAGGAACTCATGATCGCCAGGCCATTTGTGGACATCGAACTAGGGCTAAGTGATCATGTCAACATACTCTATAACAATATGTTACACTGAATACCCGGAGGAACATACCGAACGAACTAGCTGCGACGACTCTTTGGGAATTCTTGAAAGTTGGCTCCGTGGCAGCGACTGGATTCAGTTTGTTGGACACTACAGCAACCTGATTGTAACTGCTCTAGAAAGTAAGTGTTCGTCCCAACAATTCCTCGTCGTTTACCAGAAGTAGAACTCGAAAATAAATGTCACTAAGGAATACAGCTTGGCGCACCTACAGAGCCCGTCCTAGGTCCCGAAACCTGGAGCGACTATGTGGCCCAGCACAACCATTGTAATGCGCATGTTCGTGAGGACAAAGTGACTGGCCAACAACATTTGGGTTGTTAATGTGCTCTTATATAAGCATCTTAATGCCATTTGGAAAGTGAATCACGGTATCTCCCCAGTTAAGGCGACAATCAAAGTGACACAGAATGTTGACGAAGCAGCCAACGCTCTACGGATGCAGTATGTCCGGACTTTGCAACGCGACGTCCACCACTGTTACCAACCTACATACACGATACCCATTTCATCACTTACTAACATCGCTTTTACTGCCACATCTGTGTTGAAGAAATTGCTCTCGCTGCGAAGTCACAGTTCTCACGGAATCTATGACATTTGCCCGAGGGCACTGAGCGTAGAAGTAGAACGTTGGCACAGCCATTACTACATTTCTTCCAAACGAGTTTGGATGAGCAAACCATATTTACCATGTGAAAATCTGGCCTAATCACGCCAATTTTCAAAAGTGGTAATCGCTCGAAACCCGCAAACTATTGTCTAGTGGTCTTCCTCTCTGTACTCTTAAAGTTAATAGTGACAATGAGCGCGGAGGCTTTATTCGACCATGCAGAACGCTACATCATAGCACCCGAGCAACATGGGCACCGCCAACACTGTTCATGCACAGCGAACATTTTAATTACACGCAGCAGGTAGACGGAAGCGGTCGATAAAAGTAGAAGGACCGACGTCCTTTACCTCAATTGCTACAAAACCTTCGACCGCCTGGATCACCGCACTCTACTCCAAAGGCTCGAAAGCTATGGAATTGGGAATCCTGTCCTTGGGTGGCTCAGGAATTTCCTGCAGAACCGGCAACTGTAGGCTGAAGTCCGGAGTACGCTGTCCAATCCGATTCACGTTGAACGTGGAAGTTTCACGAGGATCATTTCTCGGGCCATGTTTGTTTCTCCTGTACATTATGAGCCTGCGCGTTTGATTGCCTCGAATTCTGCTTTTTGCTGATGACGGGGGATCGCCAACGAAGGAGATCACGATGCACTTCAGCGAGATCTGGAAAGGGCGCATGAATGGTCACCACAATCTGCTCCAGTTTAATTCGTCGAAATGTAATCTGGTTTACATTTCACCAGCCGAAAGTCATATACAATATTAGAGACCATGTTCTGCAAGATGTCACCCAGGAGGACGATCTTGGAATATTAATTCAAGCTGATCTGGACTAGTCAGAACAATCTGAGAAGGCGTCAAAGACCAACACGTTGGCATGCTGCGGAGAGCAATCGGTCGATTTGATCTCTCTCTCTGTTCACATTTGCATACCACATGCGTGCGGCCTCACGTAGAATACAGAATTCAGGTCGGACAACCCTGGTACAAACAAGATTTTACTGTGCTCGAAACTCCATAGCGATGAGCCACCTAGCATGTCAAAGGGTTGTTCCATCTTACATTTCAACTTAGGCTGAGGACTCTAAGATTGTCCAGCGGCCGGTATCGGCGCATGCGTTGTGACCTAAATAACGGCCCACCAGATTTTGAGTAATCCTAACCACGTCTGCAGTCACCTACTGCAATTCGGTCACAACACAAATTTGAAGGGCCACCAGTCAAAGTTGGTCATGGAATAGAGTCGGCTAGAATGTCGCCTAAACTTTTACTCTCTTTGTGTGTGCCAGCCACGGAACGTCCACCCTAATTACGTTGTTTCCACCTCCAGTTTACTTTTTGTTTAAAATACGCCTTGACGGCGCCCTAGTTTGTCCACATTATGTGATATAGCCTGTGTACATCGACACACGATACAATGTGACGAACATTGTACAATCAGCACTAACCTGCACAATCGAGGTTGACTCTTTTCTGCATGCCTCTGTGTGAACACTGTAATGAGTCCACCAAAATGAGGTTCATTTTATCACTGTTTTCTTTTCATCCTTTTGTGGTTCCCATTCTTACGATCCTGCGGGACTTATTAAGCACCTGCTTTTTATTTTACCCATTTTATATCATTGTTCCAGTGCACCATTGTTCGGAGGTGTGGCCTTATATGTCACGCCTAGCTCTCCTCGCTTGTGCTATAACTGTAATTATCTATAATTCGGTTTGGTAATCATTTTGGTTGAATTTCTTGTTTCCTAGCCCACTGCGATCGACCCAATTGGTTACGAGGAGCCTCAACCTAATTAACTGCACAGCTGACATTAGTCAAAGCAAGAACGCACTTCTGATGATACCAAACAAATTACTTACTTATCTTCAACATGGACTTGTTCGATGGATAAACGCGTGAGGCTTTCCATAATGGTTACTAGAGCACCAACGGGCCCACAAATTCTCTTCGTAATCCGAGGAAAATATTCGGCTTGCCCATCGCCAGCTCGCCCATCTTAGTCCGAACACGAAACAAGGGCCGTGACGGTAAAACATCGAGCTGACTAAATTCTCCGATTGCTACTAATTTATGTCCGCTACTCTCGCATGCTTTCGCCATCGCTGTCGGTTTTGTAAGGACAAGGGGCATGACCTTGCCAAGTATACCTTTAAGGCACTCCGTTTTGCGATGTTCTGCGGCGTTAATTGCACAGAGTGTCATTGACCACGTACATAAAACAATTTACTATCATTTCTGATGTGCACTTGCTTATTCGTCATCACTGTTGACCTAGGAAGGATTGGTTTTGTCTGCCTGAACTTGGATGCCGTATGCCTAGAGGAGGGTGACTGACTCGTTAGCGGAAACTGAATCCACTGTCGTAGTATCAGCTGTTGCTGGCCTTCCGGGCTGAACTGTATGATTAGTTTGGGACATTGTAGGACACGGCTCGCTATTGGCATCTCTGTCAAGTTTCTTGACCCCTCTTGCCAAGCCACCTGATTCAGCTTGCATAACGACATTTTACCTGTGGAGTGATGTCGATTGTGACGCGGGGCAATGAAAGGGGATATCCAGCAAAAGACGCAATAGATGTAGAACGAATTTGCGACTCACCCCTGTCAAATGCCTACTTCTAGGTTGGTCAACCTCGTCGCCCGGCATGGATCATCTGTGCGTCTGTCCACTTGTCCGTTTTCTGTTCCAACGCTAACTACCATGACGCCCTTACTGTGTGACTAGTGACCGATTTCCAGTTCATCCACCTCCTACCTCGTTTTCGCGGCTACGCACAAATACCCCTATGTTCAGCCTTATTGACATGGCCCTTTTTCCCTTGAGTTGATCGATTTGTGTGATTCCAACAGTTTGTACAACTAGTGTGTCAGACCTTGTCGTAGTACGTCTCATGGGCGGACGCATACCTATTACCATTGGCTCATTTGCATTCTTACCATAAGCCCTGTGTTTCACTTCGATTTCTTTGTGTTCTTTCGCACGCCTGAACTCAGGGGTCGCTCGTAGATCTGAGCGCGAATTGTTCACCTACTGTTGAGTTTGGAACTCGTTAAAGTAATGTTTATTTTTCTACGATGAATTTGTACAAATAGTACCATTATCACAGGTCCGGGCTTGGTTTTTTGCTGAATATTCCGGTGGGATACGCATGGCGTAAACTTCCAAACACTTTGTAGCGTAACATTAGCTTCGCAAGACGCCAGCTGTTTGTGGCTGCTGGTGTCACCGCAAGGCATATACATCACTAATTTGTGAAAGGGGAACATATTATCCCCTGAAACGAAGCCAAAAAGCGCGGTGTGGCTCAGCCACATTCCCAAAACGCGCCACAGACGCACATGCAAAGTGCTGTAGATGAGACCCAGGCATCCACGTATTGTCGATACGGACTGTAGCGGTTGCATCAAAGCCCAAACTATGTCAGCTCTAAACCAACTCTTATCCATAAACCTGCAATCCAATGGTCACTATTCTCATTTCAGAATGTTGCTCTACTAACCCCCGGTTGGCACGGACGTCCATGTGCCACTAGTGGCGATTTGTGATCCAAATCTAGTGCAAAGCCGATGTTTGACACTCCATGTTTGAAAGCCTTTCATTCGCTCCTCCTTGGATTTGGAAGATTAGTTCCCGGTTAGGAAAACTCCCGAATACATGAAGCCCCAAGTGAAGTCTGTCTCATGGGTCTAACTAAAATGTTTGTTAAACTGTACTTACCCAGAAAATTAAGCTAGATCAAGGTAAGTAAGAATGGTGGTTCTTCTCGTAAGGCCGCACCTCGTGTATGACTATCCATCGTGCAGTCCTGGTTTCACTATGATTATTGGACTAACCTAGTGCCTGCTCCCATGCTGATCTGCACAATGTATTGCAGCAAGCATAGATGTCTGCAGTCTTTTCGGTTTCATCATATAGTAGCGATTACTCTTGTGTAGTCTGTGGATCAATTCATCAAACAGCGGGTTATGAAATTCCGCGTTCAGAGGGTTCAGTTAGTAACACTTTGAAAAGAGACTACTTGCAACTCGACTTACCACTTTCAGAAGTGCTCGGTGAACATCGGCGAAGGTCAGCGTTTCTCCATTTTTCTAAAGCGGAGGAATGAGAGGTTTACATACTTGAACTTGCAGGATTTGCAGTGTCTAAAATGAGGTCATCTTAGCCATAGATTTACCCTCTCTGGAGTGCCGAAGTTTGTGCCACTTGAGAACGCTATTGGTTTGGGCGGACCTCTACATCCGTGACTCTTTGTCTCTAGTCACGAAGCTGTGGTTTGACAGTACCTGATATAATAATACAAAGTAAGTATACTTAAACAATACTTACGTCCCGTGGTATCTGCGTCAGACTACGTACACACACAATCGGCAACACCCAATCAGAGCGCACTTCACAACTTGGGTGTTAATTTACTTTATGCGCTCAATGGTTTCCAAGCCGTGTTTTCTCACACCACAGTTATTTCCCTAATACATGCCTGGGATTCTCTGTGAAACACATGTTTACCAAACATCTGGACACACAGCACGATAAACGTCTTTCTTCGGAAGAACTCTTATTGTCTGTGCCATCCAACTATCAACTACCTTTTGGACTTCTCAGATCAGTTTATGCTCTATCCTTGTACCTGGTTTCACCTCACTGCTCACGCCGACAAAGGCGAGTCTCGCGTCGACAAGAATAGACCTTTATTTGTTTATTTATGCACATTGAGCTACTTAAAGCGATAGACGAATGAGCGTTGGAGCAAAGCTAAAACGATGGTGGCGGTAACGCGTTCCCCCACCCCAACCCACCCCCCTCAATCCACATTGTGTGAGCGAATTGTCGGGTAGTGTGTATGCGCTGCACACACTGCGGTTTCCCATGCTGGAAGCATGTGAAGTGCGAAGCTGAATACGGTTCTGTGCAACTTCAAAGCGGACGCAGGCTGTCAAACTTTCGTATCGGCGGAAGGGTAGCAAAAGACAACAGAGAAAGTGGGGAGGGGGGGGAGGTGAACTCACTAAATTTGTGAACTTATATGTCCGTTCGTCATACTTCGTGGGCAAAAGGTTCTCACCGGGGATTATTTTGGCGAAATGCTTCATGAATTTCAAGTAGTTGAGACTAAGGTAAATAAAATAGAACAACATAATTGAACGACCAGTAAATGATGGTGAGACTGGCGCTCAATACTGTATGTGGAATGTCAGTTTCAGGCACGAAGTGCTAATCAGAGAGTTTTGCCTAGTTAACATGCTCACTGTTCTCCCACTGCGGTTGTTTACACTGACCTTTGTTGGATATCGCTGGGAGCTGCCATCGCTTACCAAATGTGACCCCAATTCAAGAAGGAAAGTTGCGTCGCGATTCCTCAGAACTCTTTCGTGTGCATACTTTTCGTTTAAACATGAGTTCTGTACTCCCACCCCTGCCCAATAATTCTTAGTTGTTGACCCATCAAATAATGCGGCTACCGCAGCTGCTTTTGGTCACACAAAATTTGCACGCACTTACAACTTCGCTTACTAGGAGTAGTCTCGTTGATGGCGATTTGCTAATATACAGGTTAAAATCATCACGATATGAAGTATCTTCTTTACTATAGTGCAGCCGCACACTTATAAAATTGGGTAGACGGCTGAAGCAAGACAAGGATGTTGGTACTGTGATCCTCCCGACAGAAGGGTAGAACCCCAGTCATCACATGGTACGTGATAGTAAACTGAGACTGGCGGCGATGTTAACCGCTCATTGAAGACCCATTGCCACTAGCAGTCAGTATAGTGGGTAAGATGTGCAACGGGAGCAAAATGTTCCGCCATTGCCAGCTCATCTTAGTCACTCAGCGAGCGTTCATTCCCTGTTACTGCGACGAAGATTTCCCTGAAGTAGCCATTTACTCTACTTTTCAAATTCGATCAAGCAAACTTAGCTTGTGAGCTTGTCAAACGAAGAGTGGACAAGCGACAAGCAAACGGTCTTGTGCAAGTGAGACCAGCAAATGTCGTCGGCTTATCCACGGTCAACTTTAGCCCTACATCTGTGGCAAAGAAATTACAGTCGCTCAGGGAAAATAGTGCGCCGGGAATTGACAAGATCTGTCCGAAAGTACTTAAAACCCTTGCACCCACCATGGCAGTCCACCTTGCAACCTTTTTCCAGTTTCTATTTGATTCTCATACACTTCCGTCTGAGTGGAAACGGGGACTTATCACTTCGATATACAAGGGAGGTAAGCGGTCAGACCCTGCCAACTACCGACTATTACTCTCCTTCCTGTTCTATCAAAAGTGATGGAGTCTATAATCGCTGATGAAATGGTGAGATATTTTGATAGTCTACAAATCATCTCCAACCTCCAACATGGATTCAGACGCGGACGATCTTGCCTCACCAATCTACTACTTGCTCGGGACTCATGGACCAGGGCTGCTGACGAGGGAGTTCCCGTAGATGTGATTTACTTAGACTTTTCTAAGGCATTCGACAGAGTCAATCACCCAGCACTTCTCCGAAAGCTTGCGGCCTATGGTATCCACGGATCCTTGCTCACATGGTTGGAAAGTTACTTATACGACAGAAGAATCGAGTTAAGGATCGCCAACACCCACTCCGATAGCCTATGCGTCACTAGCGGCGTACCGCAAGGATCAGTTCTCGGCCCGTTACTCTTTTTAGTCTATATCAACGACCTCCCTGCCAACATTCAATCACCTATGTAAATATTCGCCAACGATGCTAAGATGTGACGAGCTATTCAGTCAACATCTGACCCTGTCTATCTGCAGGATGACCTGAACCGGATTCACGATTGGGCAGTAAACAACCAACTACCCCTGAACCCCGAAAAGTGTCACCTGTTGTCGCTGCGCAGTAACTGCAGCAACACATATCACCTGGGGCAGCGCGTTATAAAACAGGTGAGCAACGAAAGAGACTTAGGGGTCATCGTGCAAGAAGGTCTGGGTAATTCGCTCCAATGTTCAAAGGCAGCTAACATAGCGAACTTAAACTTGAGGCTTTTGGGGTGAGCGCTCGGTACCTTCGAGCGGCAACTCGTGCCATTTTTGATTAACGCCTACATTCGTCCCCACCTCGAGTATGCGGTGCAGGCATGGCGTCCGTGGTTAAAACGGGACATTCGTCTCCTGGAGCAACCACAAAGAAGAGCCACTAAGGCAACACATGGTCTATCGGGCCTTAGTTATGAACTGCGCCTTCGTTCGATCGGTCTGTACTCCTTAGAATACCGACGACTTCGCGGTGATCTGATCCTCACTTACCGGATACTAAGAGAAGAGGACCATCCATGTAAGTCGCTGTTAACATTATCTGCCGACAAACGATGCCGAGGCCATTCACTAAAACTTGTGACTCACTATTCCCGTTTAGATTGTAGAAAGTTTTTTTTACTCTCTTAGTGTCTGTCCGCACTGGAACGCACTGCCATCGCATGTGGTGAACGCACCAAACATCGAGACATTCGAAAGACTATTGGACTTGCACTTACATGATACCCATTATATAACGGTATGACAAACTGCAGTGTCTAACTTACTGATATTTTTGTGTCACCCCTGAAACTTGGTTTTCTTCCATTTGCCATCCTGTGGGTCTTGTAAAGTTATTGCTTTTTATCCCACCATACACTATTGAACTATTGAACTATTAATGACGTTTCTTTCTCCGTGTGTCATAGTGGAATGGAAGGAATGGCGAATGGGTGTGTTTGGTCTGCCCATACGCGTGGCTGTTGGTTATGTGTGAAGAAACATTCAAGCGCATATGTTTGGCATACGACATCCCTGTTTATATGTATGAGCCATCACCAAAGAATGCTTTGGATATGGTAACGCCAATGGACTGCAGTGAGCAGTGAACAGTATTCTTACCTAACCGAAGCAGTACTAATGATTCCGAGGCATTTTACACGCATATACCAAGCTGCATGGTGCTGACCAGTCTCTGAAATCGACAGCTGCACCATTTACAGTTGAGCTGGGCTTCGAGAAGCGCCTGCGTATCTTCCCAGGTGCCTATACTACGAATTTATTTTCTCATTTATTGCTTTATTTATTTATCATGGCTGTGAGAGATTAGGGCCCCCGGTCCGCAGTTTACCACCCCGCAGCTAAATATGAAGGCCGCGGTTACTCGGGTTACATGCTGTGCTCCCTATAAGCTAATCCCAGATGAAATTATTGGATTCATGAAGTGTAGGAAACATTATCCGTGTCGTCTGATCGAAATTATATAACAACTGAGGACAACTTACTAGTCTTTCTCCCGGGAAGTAAAGTGAAGACAAATTTCTGTCAGCTCTCTGTCCGTCAGAGGGAAGTTAAAACGCCTTGCTATTTCCTGCATGAAGGTAAAACATGGGCTGGTTATCAGTATCCCTAAGAACATGAAGCAATTATATCTAAAAAACTTATCAGCAATAACCTCATTGGAATGCGTGAACTGACATGTAAAAATACAAAGTATACAGAGTAAAGAGAAAAGCGTGCAGACTGAAAACAGGCCCACAACTATCACGGGCTTCCATAACTTTCCTTTAACTCTATAAGCGGTGTGCGCACAATTTACTAAAACCACAAAAGTAAACTAATACCGTGTAAGGACCGTGTACGCTCTTATTCCATTCGACATTTGTGGTAGTCAAACAAGAGCTAGATGCTGATATTCAACTGCGATCGTTGTTTCATATGTAGTTCATAGTTCTTAACCATATATTTCATGTCCGTAATAATAAGGTCCGTATACTACCTATCCGGTTAGTAATTGATGAGGGACATGCAATGTGAGATGATAACATTTATTAACGACCTTGGAAACACCGACCAGACTACTGAACATAGGAAAACCTGTTATGGAAGGATGAGAAAAATAGATGAACCTATGCGAACCACATTCTGAAATGTATATCCTGTTGGTGATCTGAGTTAAATCCTGCCGCTCACCATGAATGTGGTGCAGAGCACGTGACTGGCTCCGCTGACGTCCGCGTCGATGAATGCCTGCTGAATTGCATCCCAGTGTTGCTGCACGCACTCAGCGATTTTGTTACACAAATACGAAACCTGACTTTCTGAGGGCTTCTCTGGTGGCGCGTCTCGTGGAGTTATAGAGGCTGCTAACTGGCCACCTTTCAGCAGTAGGTCTTCGTATTGTTTCTCTTGATCCTTCAGGCCCTTGCGCCACGACTGTAGTCTCTCAACGTTCGAATCATGTATGGCTGCAAGCAAATATTGAATTCTACTAATCTACCGCGTATGGAGTTGTTTTGGTTAAAGGAGGCACTAAATCGTTAGAGTGAATGAAATTGGCTGAAATTGAGCAACCTACTAATCAACATAAAGCCCATAGGTTGTCTACTATAGCAAGTATCCCGCAATGCGACTGAACTCTGGTATATGGAGATGACCACTAACTTTCCGATTGTTGTCTAATTATGGTTTCAATGGTCTAATTGACTAGTTGGTATCAGTTATCGTAATGTGCTCAACTGAATTACCGATCGGGTGTAAGTTCTCTTGGTAGATGAATCATATCAGAATATCGTCAAGCTCACCAAGTCGCTTTAAAAGCGTGCAGTGCTTCTACTTCTAGCGCTTATGTTTTGCCATATTACGTTCTCAGGTATAGGCTTCGCATGTGCAATATTGTAACTTTTCTTGCCTGATTACATAGTATTAAGAAGATGGAAGCAACTCTGGCACACCAGACTTGCTTAAAAATCTTTGATATACCTGTGCACTTGATTCTCATTTGGTTGTCTTAGCATTCACGAACTGCAAAGCACGATGTACTCAAACTGAATGCAAGTCAATCATTCAATCAACGGTTTTTTGAACTAAGTGATAGCCAGTTTAATTCGACCACCCAAACGAGCTTATGCCAAGAGAGCAAGAACTAACAGCATTTACGCGGGATAACCTGAATTCAGATTATTTCGTGTCTTCTCATTCAGCCGCTTAGAGGTTATCCCGCGTAAATGCTGTTCGTTCTTGCTCTCTTGAAATTTCTGAAAGGAAATGGCTGCATTAAATTCTTAAAGAAACGCTTCCCTCCTGACAAGTTTCGTTCACTGGATAAAGTAGCTTATGCCAATTGATCACGTATAAACGTCCATCGGTAGCGCAACCCTGTCAAACTTTGACCTCGGTAACCTAAACTGTTGATGCTATATTTTCTCGCGGAGCTCAATAGCGTAGTGATCATGGCGATAACCGCCAAGCACTATGCGCCGAGTTCCACTCCCAGCTCGGCTATCTCCATCTGATGAGTCTAAACAAAGACGAAACCGTCGGTCGTGGAGTGCAGGGATGGGAGAGAGCCACACCGAAACCCTCCACTGTTGATGCTATATTCGGTGTTTGTGCGGCTCTCCCGAGTTACTATACCTACCGTTTGAATTTCCGCTCTTGGGACATGTCCTTAAATTACGTGATGAAAATCAGGTGATTTACCGTATATTACCATGTATCACTTGATAGTATGACTTTGCAAGGTCCAATGTGTCCAAAAGCGTAAGTCCGTATATTAGCCGACCCCCAAGAAAATCAACAAAAAGAGAAATTGTTTCTCACGATCTTGACTTCAACGCTACGTGCCCTTACTTGAGTGTACTCAAGCGAAAGCTGCTCTACTATTGGTCAGTTCTGGCGACCTGTCTTATGATTGCAGTTAGTGGGGCTTATTGCCGTCAGAACAGATTTTAACCGCACTGGACAGTATATTGATTAGATGACAAGTCACACGAAACCGTTAAAACATCCGAGCAAATATGGGGTAAGGTGAAAGGGTATGTCAAACACCGCCTCATTTAGCTGGGGCCTCACGCATCTAACTCACAGTGGAGCAGCGTGTGAGAGGGAAGTTCAAGATCAGTGGTGTGGGACGACGTCGTACTTTCAATGCATCAGATTGACTAGCACAGCCTAATGTATAAGTGCTGTGATTCGCTAGCCAAAATGGTGCTAACACGACGTCAAACGATGCAGCTGGAACGGAATGTCCCCGTATTTCGTCTGCTATTGACAAGGGGTGCTAAGGCAAGATATCGACATAGGTTTGCAGTGAATTTCCGAGTAGATATTGCATATGATTTTTTAAAATTACGCATAACCTTTGTATAAGCTGACCCACCACACTACTGAGATGGCAAATTGTCCAAAATTCCTCGGCATATACAAGGTAATATATGATACTTTCACCATTTTACGTTGTTGTCAAGCAAGGTGAGCGTATATATATATAAATTGCAGACCACCAGCAGCAAACTGAGGTACATTAGCACCCTAACGGTTCAATGTATTTCCCCATAGAGAAAGATCGTTATCTTGGTTGAAGCCTGCGGCGCACCTGTCAAGATTACACTGATTGTCCATCTTAGCCCATGAGTAGACGTTTAATAAGCCGTCAGTGGGGGTCAGCAATTCATAGGATTGATAATACCTTTCTGAACAAGATAGTAACAAAAGAGAGATTTGAAGAAGACAACAAAGAAACTAGATAAACTCACATTGAATCCCTGTACAGAAAGCGATGGGGAGGGAACACCCATTATATGGACAGTTGGAGCTATCGTCTTGAAACAGAAGCATGCATTAAACATAGAAATGTCTACGTGACCTAACAATTGTTATGAAAAGCTCTTGATGGAGGGTAAGATGAGCATAGAATTAACGAAGCGTCCTTTCGGTCTCATCAAAAGCTCGCGTTGAATCGACCTGCTCGTATTCGAAGTTGCGGGCAGAAAAAGCCTTCAAGTCACAGGGGAAGAGACGCATAACTGATGGTGGCGGTTAAAGAAATAGGCTAAAGTCCCTTCAATGCAACCAAAAGATATTTGGAAAACTGTGGGTTGACCAAAACCCTACCATCCGACAGCCAAAGTGTGGCGGATCCCGTTGTCGAGGCTTGTGACAATTTCGGATGATAAATCCGCCAGGATTATTATCCTACAAACAACTTATAAGTAATTCAGTGTTATTCTACTTTCTACGAAAATTATTCGGAATTGCCCAATTGGCGACGATATCCATTTTCATTTTTTCGGCCCAGACGCAACTGAACGAAATGGTTGCAGGCGTTTCGTCAACATTCGAGGTGACATCATCAGTGCGCATGAGATACCGGTTTCTTGGCAGAAGCTGGCGGTAGGCGCATCCGGCTGGGGATATCGCCGTTGCTTATATAGGCATTTGCAGTCATTACCGTTCATTTCTTCTGATTGACCACTCACTGTGCTCTGTAGCTGTGCTTGGTTAGTTGCCATGGCATGCAAATTGTTGTGACGTGGGTGGTAATCCTGCATTTGGATTGGTGCTGGAGGCATACAGACGGTACTCCGGTTCACATTGAGCGCCTTGCTCATTGTCCGGTTTGCGGATTGTTTACTTCGAGCTGTTTTTAATCCGCCCGAGCTCTTTTGGTCTTGGTGGTTGGTATGAGGGTTGGATGTCGATGAGCATGCTGACTTAATTGTTTGTGGAGAATCAAGCTTCCAGGAATTCCTTTTCTTTTTTCTCTTCCTAATCAAGTCGCAACCTCTGCTTTGTTGCAACAGTAGCCGTGTCCTTCTCAATCCACGCATGCTGGGGCTAGTGAGGTTGTATACTCTTTTTCACATTCCCTTTTGTGTTCCTCTATCCTTGTTGAGAAGTTACTTCCCGTTTGTCTTATATTATACTTAGTATCATTACTGCCATAAATTTTGTCTAGAAATTCGTCTTTCCTTCGCTTATTTTTTTTCGCTTTGTCCTTGACAGTGTTCTCAGAGTGGCTATGGGCTTGTGGGCCACCATGATATTGTGTCGTTTAAACAAGCTGGCTGTCAGTTCAGATATGTTCTTTATATATAGCAGAGTGATCCTCCACCCTGTCGCTAGTATCAGATTGGTGTATGTGGACTTGAAATTTCAACATCTGCGGATGAAACTTCGTATGCTTTGCGCTAGAATGATTTCAATAGAGGATTAGCTTCTTACCGTTTCGCTCTCGTAGTACTGTAGCATCGCAAATGTTTACATCTAAATTCAATACAGTGTGCGTAGTGTTGGGACTGAACAATACCAAATCCTCTTCACATTCAACTATTTCTTGTTCTAGTGTGCGAAATTTATCACAGCATAGCGTCACGTACCGCCTTAACTGTTGTATAACTACTACAATGACTCCGATTAGGACCAAGTTGTCCTGAGGCTATTGCATTTATTTGTATACAAGCACGCTTCTAGAATCACGGTACGCCAATCCAAGTTGTCCTGTTTTCACTACCCAGACAATACATCAGCTTGAGAATTCCAGTTAAGTTCCTTATGTTCCGCTATGTATGTTTGGCGGCAGCCGGTTCCGGACTAGCCTGTCACTGTGGACTCTATAATACGGCCACAGTACTCCTGCGCTTACAGAGAGACCTTGGGTGGCTTGCGCTGCACCACCCACAGCTCCATCCACTCGCCTTATATCCAGTGCAAACCCGAGTGAACAAGACCGGGAGGCATGCGGTTGGCAGCCAGATTTCGTCAATGGAGCCGGTCCACACTCATTCAATATGTACAGCAGCATCCCTGCCTATCGGAATTGGTTTTCATGCGTACCAGACGTGCACAAGGCGGTGGCTGGGCCGTAACCCGCTCCACACTGGATGGAACCACTGTTTGAGTGCAGCACGGTCACGAGAACCGTGCATGCCTTCCCCCCTAGCAACGACTACCAGTCTCATGGAACCAATAACCGACATGGAGGGTGTTAGACAGGTAGGCACCTTGTCACTATTTACATCAAGTGTAGCCACACCGGGGATAGCAATTAACTGTCAACACCTGATATACACGAAACTCAACACGCAGGCAAACGCACAAACCAACTGCAGTGCTGACCTAGCACATGTGCCAGATCGACCGCATTATTGGCCTGGGTTAGTATATTGAGTCGGAAGCAGCGTACTTTCCAAACACTGCGCTGCTGCTAGTTACCTATACAAATAACTAGTCGCCTTGTCGATGTTTACACGCATGGCGCCGCTGGCGGCTTACTAAGCCAGCTTGGCTCAGGCACTCTCGACCGCATGTGCTACAGCACTAAGCGTTCGACGTCGATGGTCTATCAATCGTCGACGCCTGTCGCGATCTCAACCGACGTTTTTTTTCGCATGTAGCAGTGGTTTTCGAACACACGGGCAATCGCCATTTTTACATGCTCTCACCATCAGCGTCGGTCCACTGTCATCGCTTCACAACACCTGAACTCAACATTAGTTCGCGATAAATTCATCTTAATCATGACCTAGTAACGTAACTGGCTTACCCACGTTCCGCTTCCCTGCACACCGTTGGCCATAAAGCAGCTGTTTCAGTACCCTTGTCGAATCCATGCGTGAACATGGTCGAGCCACCTTAAGTGCCTCAGCAGTTGTATACGAGCCACTGCATACAGGCCACTGAGGACAAGCGCCTCCGTGTCAGAAACACGGTCACCTCAGCCGATGCGCAGAAAACGACGGAGACTTTGTTATTGAAATCGCTCCAAGGTCGGATTTTCTTCAAAAATACATGCAGGTTTCTTTGCCATATGGAAGAATGGACAGAGCATTGACTAGTATACAATCAGCTCCGTGGAAATGGTCAGCTGATGATCGTTCACACATGACTCTCGAGCTTTCCAAATGAGGCATCCGTCTTCGATACGTGCATGCGCAACTCGTCCGCTATCGGTATTTATTACACGCATCGGTATTTATTATCGGTATTATCGGTATTTAT